TTAATGTGCCACTTGCAGAGGTTTCATTCCCGCCATACGGGGGCAGGTCGAGCGCACACGCTAGGAACCCGCCAGTAGCTCAAACCGGCAGCTGCCGCTCATTTGAGAGAGACAATTAGGAAGCTGTTTTTAGTTCCGTTTTAGAATCTTTTTTTTCAGGTTTTAGGTGGAAACTCTTGCCCCATGTTGGGCGCCATTTGTAGCTAGAGTTTTCCTGCCTGGCCCACAGTCAGGACAAATCTCTCTCACCCGCCAGTCCCAAGCCGCTCAAACCCGATCAAGTAAACACAGAGACTTATATTGGTTACAAACTGTATGGCCGTGGCAGGCTTCTTGTTAACTGTTCTTACAGTTTAAATTAATCCATTTCTATTAATCTATACCTTGCCACGTGGCTTGTGGCTTACCGGTACTTTACATCTTCCTTATCCTGATGGCAGCTGGCAGAGTCTCCTACTCAGCCTTCCACTTCCCAGCTCTATTCTCCTCCTTGTCCCGCCTATACTTCCTGCCTAGCCAATGGCCAATCAGTGATTTATTTATTGACCAATCAGCAACACATTTGACATACAGACCATCCCACAGTACTTCCCCTTTTCTTTTCTTAAAAAGGAAGGTTTTAACCTTTATACATCTCCAAAGTCAGCTTGGTATATTTGGGAATTTGGGCGTAGCTTTTCTTACTACTTCCTGCTGGAGGAGGGCGCTGTATCTTTTGGAGAAACAAAGAAAATTTTAGGATCATGGAGTAGTCCGTGAGGCTGTATCATCTGAGCCAGTTGTCTTGAAACGGTTCTGGATGTTGGATCATCTGGGCTATGGTGTCATCGGAGACCTTTCAGGGGGTCTTGGCTGGTCAAACCTGATGTATCTTACTCTGGAACAAATCCATAGCCTCTTGCTTTCTGTGGAAACAAAAGAGACTCTTTTCCAAAGCAACATATCCTTACATCCAAATTTTGAAGTCAAAGTATTTTTAAAATATACATACTGGTTTAACTCAGCTTCCTTTACAATCAAATATCTCTCTGTAGTTAAGAATCCCAAAGACAACACAATCCAGACTCTCTGTGTAATAGTCATCTCTACGTGGCTTATTTTTTATATTAATTTTACTGTCTCTTTAAAGACTTTATTTTTTAAAACCATGTATTTGTTTCTATACTGTATATATCACCTTTTTTTGTCTCTTTCAAGCCTACGTATATTTTACACACATTTTAAACTATTACATCTGAATCTGCTTATTGTGAATCTATTGCTTTAAGCTGCAGCAGCTGTGGCTGCTGGCTCCGCCCACCTCAGCTTCCCAACATGGCGGCAGTATGCTTACCGCCAGCTCTGGGAGCCATCGTGGGTCTATGCTTTTATCCAAGCAGCATGTAGCCCAGAAACCTCTTTTTTTGTTTTGTACTAGCAAAGGCTAAATCCACAATGCAGCTTAATGTGCCACTTGCAGAGGTTTCATTCCCGCCATACGGGGGCAGGTCGAGCGCACACGCTAGGAACCCGCCAGTAGCTCAAACCGGCAGCTGCCGCTCATTTGAGAGAGACAATTAGGAAGCTGTTTTTAGTTCCGTTTTAGAATCTTTTTTTTCAGGTTTTAGGTGGAAACTCTTGCCCCATGTTGGGCGCCATTTGTAGCTAGAGTTTTCCTGCCTGGCCCACAGTCAGGACAAATCTCTCTCACCCGCCAGTCCCAAGCCGCTCAAACCCGATCAAGTAAACACAGAGACTTATATTGGTTACAAACTGTATGGCCGTGGCAGGCTTCTTGTTAACTGTTCTTACAGTTTAAATTAATCCATTTCTATTAATCTATACCTTGCCACGTGGCTTGTGGCTTACCGGTACTTTACATCTTCCTTATCCTGATGGCAGCTGGCAGAGTCTCCTACTCAGCCTTCCACTTCCCAGCTCTATTCTCCTCCTTGTCCCGCCTATACTTCCTGCCTAGCCAATGGCCAATCAGTGATTTATTTATTGACCAATCAGCAACACATTTGACATACAGACCATCCCACAGTACTTCCCCTTTTCTTTTCTTAAAAAGGAAGGTTTTAACCTTTATACATCTCCAAAGTCAGCTTGGTATATTTGGGAATTTGGGCGTAGCTTTTCTTACTACTTCCTGCTGGAGGAGGGCGCTGTATCTTTTGGAGAAACAAAGAAAATTTTAGGATCATGGAGTAGTCCGTGAGGCTGTATCATCTGAGCCAGTTGTCTTGAAACGGTTCTGGATGTTGGATCATCTGGGCTATGGTGTCATCGGAGACCTTTCAGGGGGTCTTGGCTGGTCAAACCTGATGTATCTTACTCTGGAACAAATCCATAGCCTCTTGCTTTCTGTGGAAACAAAAGAGACTCTTTTCCAAAGCAACATATCCTTACATCCAAATTTTGAAGTCAAAGTATTTTTAAAATATACATACTGGTTTAACTCAGCTTCCTTTACAATCAAATATCTCTCTGTAGTTAAGAATCCCAAAGACAACACAATCCAGACTCTCTGTGTAATAGTCATCTCTACGTGGCTTATTTTTTATATTAATTTTACTGTCTCTTTAAAGACTTTATTTTTTAAAACCATGTATTTGTTTCTATACTGTATATATCACCTTTTTTTGTCTCTTTCAAGCCTACGTATATTTTACACACATTTTAAACTATTACATCTGAATCTGCTTATTGTGAATCTATTGCTTTAAGCTGCAGCAGCTGTGGCTGCTGGCTCCGCCCACCTCAGCTTCCCAACATGGCGGCAGTATGCTTACCGCCAGCTCTGGGAGCCATCGTGGGTCTATGCTTTTATCCAAGCAGCATGTAGCCCAGAAACCTCTTTTTTTGTTTTGTACTAGCAAAGGCTAAATCCACAATGCAGCTTAATGTGCCACTTGCAGAGGTTTCATTCCCGCCATACGGGGGCAGGTCGAGCGCACACGCTAGGAACCCGCCAGTAGCTCAAACCGGCAGCTGCCGCTCATTTGAGAGAGACAATTAGGAAGCTGTTTTTAGTTCCGTTTTAGAATCTTTTTTTTCAGGTTTTAGGTGGAAACTCTTGCCCCATGTTGGGCGCCATTTGTAGCTAGAGTTTTCCTGCCTGGCCCACAGTCAGGACAAATCTCTCTCACCCGCCAGTCCCAAGCCGCTCAAACCCGATCAAGTAAACACAGAGACTTATATTGGTTACAAACTGTATGGCCGTGGCAGGCTTCTTGCTAACTGTTCTTACAGTTTAAATTAATCCATTTCTATTAATCTATACCTTGCCACGTGGCTTGTGGCTTACCGGTACTTTACATCTTCCTTATCCTGATGGCGGCTGGCAGAGTCTCCTACTCAGCCTTCCACTTCCCAGCTCTATTCTCCTCCTTGTCCCACCTATACTTCCTGCCTAGCCAATGGCCAATCAGTGATTTATTTATTGACCAATCAGCAACACATTTGACATACAGACCATCCCACAGTACAGAATTGATGAAGTTTGGTCAGTGTCTGATGACTCTCATCTGAATTTGAAATCTGGAAGCCTGTGCTTGGTGCCAAGTATAATCAATGAGTCATTGTTTATAAAAACTGGGGGAAAGAGGTTAGAAGAAGGAACAATATTGGTCTAAGGTCTAAGTATAGTACAGAGCTTGATAATAGGTAAGAAATGAACCAATGATGTATTTTAGAAGTGCTCATCATGTTTTCTCATTGCTTAAATGTCTAGAAACTTACTGTTTTATCTTTTGAATCTATGTCTGATCCTAAGGTACTAAATATTGATGCTGTATCAGAAATTTCAGAGTCATAATGGCGTTTTAAATTTACTATATATTTATCTGGGGTAATAAAAGTCATCCTTTAAGCCATATTAGTATTCAGAGCAAAACAAAAGAAAACTGATGTAACTTCTTATATATAACATTTGCATTTCTGTGGATTGCAGAAGGGACTACATTCTCACTAGCTGATCGCACTAGGTGCTAAGGAGTTACCCAAGGGTGTAATCCCAGCCAAGTACTGGAGAATGGGTAAGCTCAGGCACAGAAAGGTGGACATTCTTACATAAGCAAGAAGCACATGTGTGAAGCATTTCCACTGTTTAAGGTGTTTAATAAAAGACTGGTTATTAAACCCACTTGGATTTGAGTACATTTATTTAAAGAGCTGGGTGCAGGGTAATGATCATGCAGAGGCATAGGCCCTGCTTCTGGGAGCCCCTGTTTTAGTGAGAGGATGGGGCAGGCACAGAGGGGTATGCTAAAGCCTTGGTGCTGTGGGCCTCCAGCCTGGCCTGGGGAGAGGATGGGACAAGGGAGGCTTATTGGAGGAAGTGACGGCATCTACGCAGGACATGAAGGATGGGAGGTGTAATGCAAATCCTAATTGGTCTTAATAATAAAAACCTGGAGTCAGATTTCAGTGTAAATGCTGAAAGATCAGACGGACAAAGGAGCAAGCCACAGCCACCTCTTACCTCGACAACTCCTCAGCCTGGAAGGGAAGCTCCTGTTTCCTCCTGCCTTATATTCCTTTTCTCTGCCCAGCCAGTATCACTTCATGTCTCCACCTCCCTAGTGCTGGTATTAAAGGTGTGTGCCACCACTGCCTGGCCTCTATGGCTAACTAGTGGTTGGCTTTGCCCTCTGATCTTCAGGCAAGCTTTATTTGTTAGAGCATATACAAAATATCACCACAGGGAGGAGTCAGAGTCACTGAGTGAGAGTTGATTCTAGAAAATGAACTTAGTCAAGTGCTGCTCTTGGGAATGGAAGACCTAAAGATGAATGTGGGATGACTCATTCCTAACAGGCTTGAGGGCCACCTGGCCCAAAACAGTAAAAAAGATACTTTCTGAGAGCCAACCTGGGTCTGCCTAAGGGCCTTAGCAACAGCAGCTGAGACATGATCTGGAGATGACCTGGACCAATGAAAGGCAGCCATGTCACACCAGCAGATGCATATTCATCAGACCTTCCCCCAGGGTGGGTGGAAGGTGTATAAGGCTTGCCTCTTCCTGAATAAACTGAGCTTGTTGTTTCTACATTCTCGCAGAGTCTGTGTGGTTGACTCTGTGCCTACTTGGTCCCCTCCCCAAACGGAACAACAGCAAAGGATCCTGCCACAGATGAGGCAACTGGCTGTGATGTGACCAACGTGTGAGAGCAAAGGAGAGGCTGGTGGCAGCTCAGGGGCAGTGCTCTACCCTCAACTGGAACAAGTGAGCAGAAAGGAGTGAAGCAGAGGGTGGTAAGGAGCCCTGTGGCCCACATGGAGGCTGTCTTCATGTCCAATGGCTGGTGGTCACCCAGTCTCATTCTTGAGATGCCTGCTGCTGCTACTATTTCATGCCCTTTGTGTCTGTGAAATCTCTACTCTCAAACCAACCTAATCTTTGCTTGAATTAGACTGAATGAGTCTCCATTGCCTCCTGAGTCAGAGATCTTAGACTTCCTAGGCACTGGAGCAGTGTTCTCTGGGGCTCCTGTTGAGAGGAGACCCTAAAATGCCTGTGAGTCCTTCTCTTGCTGGTGCCTTCTAGTCTATTCCTTAGTTCCTAAGACTTTTCTGTGCCCTGTTTGGGGACAAATTATGTATAAGCAACATCTTTTGTCCTATCAGTTGATTTGTTATTTGCAGATTCAAATAGGCCTCAGTCAGCTCAACTTTGGGTTTGTCCCACTTTCCTTAACAAGGATTCATTGTTTCTTTTTCTTCCAGCACTTTCCAAGCATCATGATCAGAATCCGTGGTCTGGATGCCTGCTGGATGCCATTGTTGGAATCTTCTGTGACTCCACATGAAATTGATCAGCTTTTGTCAGTGGATTATGCTGGCATTACTATAGCTGCATCATCATTTGACCCTTATGACGTTCCTGGGAGATTGAATCTGAGTAACAAACACTATTTCCTAGTGGAAGCCATTGGATATCAGTTTGTTAAAGCATTAGAGTGAATGTCCCCATGTACATAATATGCTACTTTGTGTTGAGTTATTTTCTTCTGAAAGTAAAATTGAACAAAAGTGATGGCTGCTGGTCATTTCATCATGTATGCTGCAGTCTGTGTGGCACATGGGCGTATGGGTAGAGGTCATGCTAGCTAGCACAAGGGCACCAGAGTGAGGCTGACAGAAACTCCCAGAGGATCAAGAGTGAGACCAAATCCTGTTGTTTGAAGAAGGGTTCCACCCAGCTGAAAGCTTAAGTGTCATGTTCCATGTTTGCCAGAGCTTAGATCCCAGAGGTGAGATCTAGCCAAGATGTGACCCTGGCCTCTTTCCCTCCTGAAGTTACCCAAACCCCCAAAATAATTGGGAAAAAACACGTCTCTACTTTAACTGGAAGTCCCAAGTTGGGCACTATGCTGGGGTTCACCCGGTCACCATATGGTCTGGAGAAATATCCCTAGCATGACTTCATGAGCACCAAGCTTCCTTCTGTGACCTCAAACTCAGCTTGTCAACAAGTGAGTTCACTCTCTTCCCCACAGTTTGAATTCCCTTCCTGTGTGCTTTATTCTGTTCATGCCTCACCAGTTTCTAGTCCTATAAGTGAGAAACAGGTTATTTCTGACAAGACCTTTCTTTGTTGTTTGTTAGTTCAGAACCCTGGTTTTTGTTTTGTTTCTTTGACGTTATCTTTCTCCTTTTCCTTTCTTCCTGTTGTCATTGTCTCTCCCCAGGACCGGAAGACCATGATTATTCTGTGTGTTATTTTCACCACATCAGTCTTTGTAGATCACTGACTTACTTTTCAGAGACCTCTCTTCTGTTTGAAATCACAGAAAACTGTGGAAACAAGTTTTATTATACCAATTGGGATTTAAGGCTCTCTACGGTTTGCTATAAATGGTCACCTCTCCAACTGTGTTTCCCAATTATTTCTCTTCTCTACTACACAGCCTCAGCTGTAATTTCATTGTTCTCAAAAAATACTATTTTTAAATAGTTGTAATTTAGCGGCCCTTGCCGGGTGAGCATCTCTCCTCCCTTCAGTCTTTCCCAGTTCTGCCTTCTTACTGGTGGATGTCCCCATAGTCACTGCTGTACCCTTCATTATCTCTCATTTCTTGAATTCTACTGACACTTGGTGTTGGTGACATATAAACCATTCAACTATGCTGTGTGTGTGTGTGTGTGTGTGTGTGTGTGTGTGTGTGTGTGTGTGTGTGTGTGTTGGTCCCTAATGAGTCTAAGCCTTGTGGGAAGAATTTCCTTCTACACTGGATATTATTTATGAAGTGCTGATGGCGCCTCTCTTTGGTTGGTCCTAGAGAAGTTCAGTGATGAGAAATTGCCATGTTGAGTTTGTTTATAAGGCAACACTTTCATTGACCTGCTGTGACCTGGAGGCTCTTTGAAGCATCTGTGCTAAGTCTGGAGTTGTTGGAGCAACAGTGGGTGCAGCCTAGATAGCTGTGTCTGACTGTTCACAGCTGGTGAATAAAACAGAGACTGTGGGAATGGGTGAGACAATAAATGCATGCTAGGGTATGTGTGTAAACACATGCATGTGAATACATGTTTGTGTATGTTCAGATACATGTTAGGCCAGGGGCCAATCTAAGGCGTCACTACTTAGAAGCCATCTGGCCAGTGGCCTCAGAAATTATGTCTATTTCTACCCTCCAATCACTTCAACAACAAACATGTGTCACCATGATTGGCTTAAAAACATATTATATGTGTATGTGTGTGTATCTGTGTGTATTATATACACACAGATGTACATATATATGTGTGGTTTTTATTTTATGTGTAACGGTGTTTTGCCTGCATGTATGGCTGTGTACCACATGCATGCCTGGTGCTTGCAGAAGCCAAAGAGGGCACTGGGTTCCGTGGAACTGGAGTTACAGACTGTTGTGAGCTGCCATGTGGTTCTGGGCAGGTCCTTTGGAAGGAGCAGCCAGTGCTCTTAACTGCTGAGCCATCTTTCTAGGCCAGGACTGACCTTTTTTAATGAGGCTCTAGGGAAAAAATTTAGGTCTTTGTATTTGCAAAGCAAGCGCTTTACTTGAGGCATCTCTGCAGCCTGAAACGCTGGCCTGAAAGCAGTCCTATATTGAGTCTGGATTCCTGACAAAGTGCACAATACTTTTCCCAACAAGAAGCATCTGAAGGAACACGGATTTACCACATCTTTATAAAATCAAAGCGCTTTTAATACCATTACAACTTCTTTTTTTTTTTTTTTTTTTTTTTTTTTTTTTGGTTTTTCGAGACAGGGTTTCTCTGTGTAGCTTTGCGCCTTTCCTGGAACTCGCTTTGGAGACCAGGCTGGCCTCGAACTCACAGAGATCCGCCTGGCTCTGCCTCCCGAGTGCTGGGATTAAAGGCGTGCGCCACCACCGCCCGGCGCCATTACAACTTCTAAATGTAAGACTATTTACTCTATCAGATCTCCAGAATGTCAAAGAATCAGGGGGAGCCTCTGATTAGTATCAGTAGTGCTCTGTGTTCAGTAGGCAGTTGCTGCCTGTGTTTTGTTTGTGTTTTGTGCTCAATGCTCATCACAGACTTGATCTTATGACAAGGAAGTATTTTAGGTTCCTGTTATTTCTTTACTGAAGTTTTCTCAAAAGCAAAACTACAGAGCTCCAATTTCCCATTTGAACTTAATGCATTCTGGAATTTAAAGAATATTAATTTCTTGATTAAAAGATGATTCAAATTTAAAGGGCCAGACAATTTACTTAAGTGCCAGTTGATGAATGCTGGCTGCTCTGTTCCCTCATCTTCCCTTTCTGTTTCTCGAGCCTTTGTTACAAGCCTCTTTCATTTGGCTAACTAGTGGAAACGCACGACCAAAGTACTTAAACTCAACTTCTGGTTTGTTTTTGCTGTATAGTCTGTTTTGTGTTCAAGATATTTTAATGACTTTCTTCCCATGAGCAAGATTTATACTAGATAATTGCTTTTTTGAGAGAGAGAGAGAGAGAGAGAGAGAGAGAGAGAGAGAGAGAGAGAGAGGAGGAGGGAAGGAGAGAGACAACAAATGCTAGCAGGGCAGAAATTTTAAGCTGATCGCCTCATTTCTAAAATTTTAGCAGAAATAAGCAAGATGATTAGTTTGAAATGTAATTCATAGTCAATGGTTAAAACAAAATACTTGAGTTGCTGATTACAGCTCAGATAGATCCTGGGCATGCAATGAGCTGCTGGAATGATTCCAAGTGTCTTCTGCGTTCAACAGTGCTCTACAGAGAAAAAAGAACCACTAGGGAGCATGTGTGTATGTATGTATGTGTGTGTGTGTACATATATATATATATTATATATATAAATGTGTGTGTATGTGCACGCACAGTATATGTACATGAAGAGGGAAAGAGAGAAGAGTGAGGGAAAGATAAAGAGAGAGAGAGAGAGAGAGAGAGAGAGAGAGAGAGAGAGAGAGAGAGAGAGAGGAGGGAGACTTATTGTGGGAGGGGAGAGGAGGGGTGGGGACTTGTGGGAATTTTCTCACATATTTCTGGAGGCTGAGAAGTCCTTCAGTATGCTGCCTGTAAGTTGGAGACCAGGAGCACCAGGGCTGTAATTTAGTCCTAGCCTGAGGACATACAAGGGCAGGGAGGAGGAAAGATGCTGCTATAAACCCTAGAATTCAAAAGCCAACGAACCAGGAGCATGGATGTCTGGAGACAGCAGATGTGAGGCTTGTCCCGACGCTGAGAAGGAGCCTGGATTTGCCTCCCTCTGCTCTCTTGTTCTTCCCACGCTCTCAGTGGACAGCTGATGGGGTAAAGCATGTTCCTCTTAGCTTCCAGACTCAAAGGTACCGGTTGCTTTTCTCATTGTTGTGACCAGATGCCTGACCAGAGCAGCTTCAGGAAGAAAGGGTTTATTTGGTTCATAGTTTGAGCTTATGGTCCATCACAATGAGCAAGTTGTGGCAACAGGAGTGAGAGATGGCTCCTCACATTGCAACCACAGTGAGGAAACAAGGACCTAACAGGAAGTGAAGCCTGACTATAAAACCTCAAGGACCACCCCCCAGTGACCCACTTCTGCTAGTAAGGCTCCACTCCTTAAAGGTTCCAGGACCTTCCAAAGCAGTGCTACCAAATGACCAAACACATGAGCCTATAGGGGACATTTAACATCTAAATTACACTGTGTCTTGTCAGGAGGAAGAAAAGAGAGAATGCCTGCATCCACTCGGCTTTCACGTTTTCTCTCTTTTATTCTAGTCTGGTCCCCAGCCTATGTGTGGTGCTGCCATTCACATCCAGGGTGGGTCTTCTTTCTCAGTTAATCTTCTCAGGAAAAAAAATCCTCATGTATGCCCAGAGGTGAGTCTTCTAAGTGATCCCAAACCTAGTCACACTGACCTTGAAGATCGACCATCATAGCACATGCCATCCAGAACGTCCCACAGAAAGACCTGGAAATAATGTTTACTGTATGGTGGTTTGAATAAAAATGGCCCACATAGGCTCATAGGGAGTGGCGATATTAGGAGATGTGGCTTTATTGGAGTAGGTGTGGCCTTGTTGGAGGCCATGAATCACTAGGGGGTGGGCTTTGAGGCCTCAAATGCTCAAACCAAGTCTAGGGTGACATTCACTACTGCTGCCTGCAGATCAAGATGTAGAATTCTCAGCTACTCCTCCAGCACCATGTCTGCCTGCACACTGCCATGCTTCCCGCCATGATGATAATGGACTAAACCTCTGAACCATAAACCAGCCCCAATTAAATGTTTTCCTTTATAAGAGTTGCCGTGGTCATGGTGTCTCTTCACAGCAATGGAAACCCTAAGACAACCTGGGTATGTGGGCACACTGTAGCAGGAATCTTAAAAGGTCTTATTAATTAAATCAAACCTGAGGCCAGTTATTGGGGTGAATGCTGGAAGATCAGAGAAGCAGAACAAGCCACAGCTATCTCACCTCTCCAGTTCCTCAGCTGATCCTGTTTCCTCAGACTGGAAGCCTCTGAGTCCTCATCCAGAATGAATCTCAACTGAACTGTGCTGCTCAAAGCCTGAAAGCTTAACCAGGCTAAAAGCTTCTAGTTTCTGGT